AGGTGGTAGGGAAGGCTCCGTGCCCAGGCCGCGCCGTACGCACGGAGGCGTGTAGGTAGGTTGCCTGCAGGAGCAGGCCGCTGTAGTTGTTGTCCAAGAAAAGAAATGACAGCCTGTGCAAAATATGTTCCCGCTGCGGTTTGTATCTCCCTTCTGCGCCTTGCTGAGTACTTAAATCCCCTCTGGCACGTTAGCAGGGCTGTGCAGGTACTTTGCACTTTGTTTCGTAAGTGAATAAGTGCTTTTCTTTCTTTGTGTATTGAGTTGCTATTGAATTGCTTCCCATATTTTTATTTCATACAAACTGAACAATTGTGGCCCCTCTATTTTATTTATAAAGGTTCAGTGTATCTTTGCCTGCCTACATCAATCTGCAAGGGAGTTGCAGAAAAGCCTCATGTTCATCGAGCCGTGAGTCACAACCAATTTTTAAAGCTGTTATAACAAAAAAAAAAAAAAAAAGTGTTTGCTTTTTTTTTCACGAGTAACTTTAAAAGTGTAGCTTAGAAAGAAAAAAAAAATAAGAAAAACCATTTTCAGTAGACACAACATTATTCCTGGATGCTTGCGAATCCTAAACTATATTCATACTTTAGTATTACACATACCTGTGTCATATACACAGATGAGCTTTAAAATTGTCACATACCATTACCACTTTGCCTTTACTTTTATGTATCATTCCCCTGACTTCCTTACTGCAGGTGTGGGCAAGAAAACTTTTCCTTTAAAACTTTTCAACAGTGGGCATAAAATTCTGCAGCTGAGGTCTTGAAGAATGCAGATGGGTATAGTATATGTTGGAGCTCGCAGTGTGTATTGACTAACTTTGTTTCTTTTTTTACTTTTAATTTCTTTGCTTTTCTGATATTGTCTTAAGTGGCTCCTGAGTGTAAAATGTCTTCTGAGGGTGGGACGCGGGTGGGAAACATGCTTCATGTTCCAGGCCAAGACCTACAAGATTCGCCTTTGCCCGGCCTTGGAAAGCACACTGCAGATTTGGTTTTCAAACCAAATGGACCGATGCTTTAATTGTCTGATGAGCAAATAGCAGTCACCTATAAAAACTGTCCAGTACAGCCCTGTTCTGTGAGTCATGGCCCTCCGGTAGTGTGGGGTTTGGTATCTCCTGCCCCTTCCTTACACTAAAAAAGGTGTGGGGGAAACCTCCACAAAATGTAAAAGGTTTTGGCTGCAAGCCAGACTATCTATCTCCTCTCTCCTCTGGCTGTGCTGTCTCTTTATATGAATGACAGGCCTTGGACGTTACTTGGCTTGCCAGCACTGTGTTTAACATGGTATACTGGATGAACAAATGCTAAAATAGTGTTTTTTCCCAGTTAAAAGTGTTCCAGAATATCCTGTTACCCTCTAAGCCTTTTTTTTTTTTTTTTTTTTTTTTTTTCTTTTTGGTGTAATTTTGGGGAGGAAGAGCACCAAGTATTTTAATCTGCATATTGAGGTGAAATGATCATACCAAGGTCTTTGTTCTCGAGTCGGTATTCTAATGTCTCCTTATTTAAAACCACAAATGAATTTCAGGAGATGAAACCAGACAAAGGGTGAAGTTTACAGACGATCGTGTTTGCAAGAGCCACCTTCTGGATTGCTGTCCCCATGATATCCTGGCAGGAACAGTAAGTATGTTCTCTGTAATAAGCAGTTCTGGGGAGGCAGATGTTGGTACAACTCTCCAGGGCTCAGCTGTGTGTTGTGGGTACTTCGAGAAGAGATCAGGCTTTCTGTGCGCAAGTGGCAGTCATAGTTCTAGTTTTAGTTTCTGTGACCTGTGTATGGAACCACTGAAGTTAGGACCTCTCAGAATTCGCTTGAATCTTTTTTCTCTCACTATCGCACATGAAGTTACAAGATTATTTCTCTTTTAGCAGTTAGATGTTTAGGGCCTGAAACTTATCCTGTGGAGGTTGCAAGACCATAGCATAGGCCTGGGTGCTCTAGTTGCATCTTAAGGTTAGCAAGTTTTTTCTTACCGGCTGCAATAATCCTTAATCCTCAGAGCTTTTCAGTCTCCTCTCACCAACCATGTGGTATTCCCTGGTGGAATGGCATCCTGCTTGCCCTGCTAATGGCAGTTTGCAGCTCAGGCCAACTTTGTCTTTAGTTGGTTGGTGTGAGTGGTGTGTCACTCTGCCTGACTGGTTTGAAACTGTTGGGTCGGCTCCTTTGCTGTTGCCCTCTGGGGACAGACCTGGCTGGTTTTCAAAGGTTTGGCTCACATGCTCTGTCTCTCTGAGAGCAAAAGGTGATGTAGGCTTTTAACAGTGAGATCTTGCTGAAGTAAGTATTCAGTTTAGGTGCCCAGATGAAAGATGCAGTCTGACTTTTGAAAGAAAACAATGCACGTCTCTTGTAATTGTTACTGTGTTACAGAATTGCGGGATGGAGATGAATATGGATGTTTGAAATCCATCTTCACCCTCCTTGTTTGACACTAAACACTGTGGCAGTTCACATTGTCCATCCATTTAACCAGATTGTTTAAAGATACAGTCGTTATTTATAGCTCTTCCTGCTGTTATTTCAGGAGCTGGTTTTGACACAGTGGGTTACCAGCAAAGGGAGGGCTGGCACTCCTTCCTCTGTGTGTGTCGCTGCGATAGCAAGGCTCTCTGGCAGCACTAGTAGAAGGAACTTCAGTAACAGCTGCCTCAGCTCTGAGCACTCAAACTTTGGCTTTTCAGTGGATGCTGTTGCAGAGTAACATTGGAAGAATTAAATACCAATCTCTGTATCTCTTTATTTATTTGTTACTAATTTGAAGCTCAGACGTATTTTTCAGCAGTCAGCCTCCGTATCACTTCCATTTCAGAAGTTCAAAGCCGCTTAGATCACCTTCTGCCCACCTCCATCCTTCGTGCATTTCACTGTGGTTAGGGTCTATCTTTTTGACACAAGATTCTGCAAAGTCTTTTGGGGCCCAAACGGTGTTTTGAAGGTGCAGGCTGCTTTCTGCCTCTTCTGGTACGTTTCCAGGAAGAAGGTAAACGGTGAGTCAGAGGGGTTGAATTAAGTGACGTGTGTGACTGCTGGAGCAGGTGCCAAAGCGTGGAGGAAGTCTGAAGTGTTCAGATGGGTTGCAAGTCTCCTGGGGCTGAGAAGCACGTTGAGAAAGCTGTTCCTCTTGCTTCTGATGTTACTTGTCTGCAGTGAGTCCTCTTGCTGTGGAGCTTATGCTCTCAGAAACATCACAGGGGAACAGGAAGGAAGACTGCTTCTGTGCAAGTGGTCTTGTGGGTCACTCAGATGATCTTGTGGTGGCCTTTTAAGTGGCTGTGGAGCTCTCTACACAGTTGTTACGAGGTTATTGGGGCAAGAAAAAGTATTGGTGCCACAGATCTGTGTTGAAGGAACATGTGATGTCCAGAACGGGAACAGCATTTCAGCTGTCAACACTAGCAGCACACAATGAAACTTAGCTAGAATGTGTAGGCTTTCCTCGTGATCTCAGTCAGGTTCCCTGACATCTTAACAGTGCTCCATGAAGGGGAGAGCTGCGTAGGTGAAGCAGCCTCGGCTGGATGGGTAGCATCCATCTCTGGATGCGTATTACTGCAGAAATCAGGACTTTGGGTCTTTTTAGAACCTTCTAACAGATGCTCCAAGCCTTCTGGTGCTGGTTATGTTGCATCCTCCCCCTGAGGCATTGTAACTGCTGCATCCTGCATGTGTGCAGATATTCCTTAGTGGGAGGCTGATTGGGGACAGGCAGGAAGCTGGATCTCTGAGGTCACTGTACTCTGTGTAATGTGATGGAGTCACGTTCACTGGCCTTCAGGTGCAGAGTAAGAGGAATCCAGACTATAAGTAAAGCTCTGGAATATTGCTCAGAGCTGCAGGAGGCATGCTGATATTTGCTTTGTTTAGGTGTGCTGGTGGTCTTGGTCATATGAGCTGTTAATTTTAATTTGGTGGCTTCTTGTGATTATTCTTTTTTGTTCCCAGAAACTTATCCACATGTGTCACTAAATAAACTACAGTGGTGTCTTGGGTAGGTGTCTGTGGGTAGGGAGGAAAATTCTGGGAGGACAGAAGTTTGTTTAATATGCCCATGTGGTGTTACCAGGGGACTTGTCATCCAGATCATTAGTGGCATGCACTGGCTTGTCTCAGCAGCTGGTGGTAAACATGTTTCTGTCAGTGGAAGTACTGCAGCACATTCAGAGGTGGCATCAGCTGGTAATCCTGAATTTTAGCTCCACAAATAATTGGACAGATAAGTCTGAAAGTTGCCCAAGTAGAACACAGCTTGGAAATGACATTCAGGGACTTAATTGTGCCCCCCACTGGGAGATGTGAGCTGAAATCTGTAGGTTGCAGGGTGGTTTTGGAGGGATTTCTGCTTTCCTTTTTCACTTGGGTGAAATTCTGCAGCTCTGATTACTATTAAAGAGCCTTCCTTATGGAAATAGGCTTTCCAGTGAGTTAGCAGTTTAGTGGAGATTGTAAGAGATACCTCAAAATGTAGATTGCTCAGCCAATGTGAGCAGGACTAATTATCAGTGGCATCTACATGGATTCAATGCTTGCGTGCATGGGGGGTTTAAACCTACTCAGGAACTGCTGGGCTCCTTGGGACTGGTGGTGACTGGGAGAGAAGAGGGTGGCTGGCTGGGTGTTCCTGTGATGACATGTACCCTGTAATTTGTTCTGTGGCTCACACTTAGGCCTTTTATTATTTTGGCTTTCAAAATGTCATTCTTTTTCTACTTTGAGAAGCGTTCTCTGTTACATATTGATAATATCAAAATGCCACTTCCATGGTTGGAGAGCGTAACTTTGGGTATGTGGCTGTTGACTATGGGGGGAAAAAAACCCTCAAAGTTAGATGGCAGTGATTGCAAGGGGAGTGAAGGGCAGCATGGAAGTCACAGCTTTCTGGGAAGGGAGATGCTCTCAAGCAGTCTCTTGTTAGATGGGGTCATGTGTAGGATTTAGCTTTGCTGGGCATGTTTTAAAGTTCCAGGCTGCAGTTGACTATGGGAAGGGGCTAGCTTTAGAATTATGAGTGGTGTTGCTGAGCATGGGGTTGTGCTCATCTACTGTCCAGAGACCTTATTCCTTTAAGTCCACTTGGTCTAGGTGGGGAGCATTCTGTCTGTTTTCTACAATTCGGTATCTTTCAGTTTGTTACTAGGGCTGGTACTGGCACAGATGTTTTTTTCCAGGTGAGCTTTAAACAGGGTACAAAGCTGTATATTTTGCTGTGCTGTAGCTCCATAATAGAAAGCATTTGCAGTTGTTGCTGCAGCATGTTGTGCCTTCCCAGATCCTTCCCAGCAATTTCTAACGCTGTGCTGTGACCTAGAGCAGGAGTAGGGTTGAGAGCAAAGCATCTGGGGTATTTTAATGTTGTTCCAGGAACACCTAGAAGAGGGGTTCTAGCAAGCATGTGATGCTTCTGGCTAGTTCTGTTACTAATAGGATAAGAGGAAGCTCTTTTTGTAAAGAGACTTTATTTTGATATGATGCAGGTGGCAAGAGTTAAGTATCTGCTGCTTGTTGCCATAATGGAGGGTTCTTACATTGATTTTTCTTTTTATTTTCAACAGCGAATGGACCTGGGAGAGTGTACAAAGATCCATGACTTGGCACTGCGAGCAGATTATGAGATTGCAAGTAAAGAGAGAGACCTGTTTTTTGAGCTGGATGTGAGTACAGAGACATTTCAGTTACTTTTGTGGAAACTGCCTCTTGAAGTTATTTGGCTGAACAATAGAGCTCAGTGGAAGTTTCAGCTAGCCATGTCATTTGATGTGTTAGCTGACAAGATGTGTAGCCACTTCCCCAGGGTCAGCTGGATTGCTGCCTTAAAACTAAAAGTGATTATGGCCCTTGCAACCCATTAGTGCAGCTAATGAAGGAGGCTCCTCTGGTATGGTGTTCCTTACATCCCACACCTGCTGCTCTGTACCGGGTCATTGTAACCTGGTGGCTTGTCCCAGAAGGAGATTTAACATTAAAAGCCTTCTGCTGTGGTGTTTCACTTTGCCGGATTTACTTTTCTGTGATATAACAGATCAGGCAGAGGAACAAATCTGTATTCCCTTTTCATGTTATTCCAGTGCTTTTGTCTTTACACCTGTTGCTCATGCACTGGGAGTTCCAGTGCAAAGCAGTCTTTGTGTGAGCATCCTCTTATGTGTCATAGTAAAGGAACTGTGTCAGGTTCCAGGCAGACTTAAAGGCAGGGATCAAATGTTACTTTTTGTACAAAGTGTCATATTTTTTTTCTCAAGGCATCTGTTCTTGAGACTGTTTGTGCATTATACAGGGATTGCTGTATGGCTGTCTCTGGCACGGAGAGCACTTGTATTCACAGTTCTTTGTCTGAACATGCAGGCGATGGATCACCTGGAATCCTTCATCGCAGAGTGTGATAGGAGAACAGAACTGGCCAAGAAACGCCTGGCTGAGACACAGGAAGAGATCAGTGCTGAAGTGTCTGCAAAGGTATTGTCCTGTCAGTAAATGTTTGTAGTGAAAGTCTGGGAGTGCACTAGAACCATGTTGTCTCTGACACCATTGATATTTGGGAGGTAGACTCCACAAAGGCTTTGTGGGTTCCAGCCATCCTCCTCAAATTCTGCTCTGTCTGTTCTTGTGGCGAACTTACTGGCTCAGAGGACCATAGTAGTGTAAAACATGAACTCTAAAATAGGTCGCTTTAGCATGGCAATAAAGCATGTTGGTTTCTCCCCACGCTATTCAGTGTTAATGTAATGTAATAATGTAATGGAATAGTAAGTCTATTCCATAATTGTCATCTTTTCACTTAACAAATCCTCATGAAGTTTCCTCTTTGGGATCTTGCTTCATTGGGTGATCACAAAACATTCCTGAGGCTGGTTTTGTGGATTCTATCCTGTCTTGTAAGCCAGAAACATGCTGCTTGTTGTGGCAGAATTGGTGATATCCTCTCCATGTCATTTTTCTCTTTGCTGTGTGTCTGTGCCTGCATTGACTGTACTTGGCCCACCAATTTCTTTTTTATTGAGAGTCTTGACTTTTGGAGATCTATGGTCGTCTTTCAACAACTGATTTTGTTAAACGGGAGGTTTTTTTTTTTTTTTTTTTTTTTTTTTTTTTTTTTGAGAAAAAGGAAGAATTGTCCTGCAAGTATTTTGTCTTATTAAAAACTACTTGTTCTCTTTAGGCAGAGAAAGTACATGAGCTGAATGAAGACATAGGAAAACTCCTAGCTAAAGCTGAACAGCTGGGAGCTGAAGGAAATGTTGATGAGTCTCAAAAGATCCTGATGGAAGTGGAGAAAGTCCGAGCGAAAAAGAAAGAGGCAGAGGTATGGTGTTGCTTCTCCTACGAACTGCAGTAGAGGACTGGGCTAGGCCGAGCCCTGACAAAGAGCTGGGTACTTCCTGCCTCTTTTCCTATGTTGCCAGTACCTCCTTGTTCAGTTTGTGCCAGCAAGCAGTTGGCAGTGTAGTGTTGTAGATGAAGAATAGAAACTCTTACCTGTTGGAAGAGAGCTGACAGAGCAGGGAGGGATTTATTTTCTGGAAGATTTGGTCGCTAGCTGCTTGCAGGGGGAGACTGTCAGGGTAGCTGTGCTTGCAAAGTGTTTGTTATGGCACCTCCTGTATATTGAGGGTGGTTTTTGATTCTTGAAAGCAGCAGTGCAATTCTTTGCAGGGTTTTCCCTGGAGGGCTGTGACTGTGTAAGGGTTCCCTGACATTTGTGTGGGTTTTTTGCCTCCCTTTAGGAAGAATACCGAAATTCAATGCCTGCATCCAGTTTCCAGCAGCAGAAGCTGCGTGTGTGTGAAGTCTGTTCAGCATATCTGGGTCTCCATGACAACGACCGGCGTCTTGCTGACCACTTTGGAGGCAAATTACACTTGGGTTTCATTCAGATTCGTGAGAAACTGGATCAGCTGAGGGTAATCCTTTCTGTTTTAAACCTTCTCCTTGTAATTTACTAAATTCATACAGAATTCTTTGCAGACTGCATGTAAAATCTAGAAATTTGTGATTGCAGAATCCCTGAAACCTCAAATGGAGGTTTGTGTGGCCTCATCTTGGGTTTGTTCTGTGATTTCTGGGTAACTGAATATGTGTGCTCAGAATTAGTCAAACCAGACCACTGCTATCATTCATTCCTTCCAGCACTGGTGCGCTCATCTGTATTTTTCTCATTGATAACAGCTGAAATTTGTCACTCTGGGTTTTTTTTGCTGAAACCTCATAAAGAAATGCTTGAACCGAAGTTTCATGTTGTGCTGTCAGTGAAAAAGGTCTTGAGTAGCTGAAGTGTGTGATTAGAAGTTTTCTGAAATGGTTCATAATGGAGTTCTGGTACCAGGCTTGCTTGAAGAGGCCATTAGCCTGCTCGAGTAAGAGTGGTGATTCCTGTGCCTTATTCAGGAGGCAGTATATTGAAGTCAGAGCCTTGAATGATCATTGGCACAAGGCCACGTCACTGTTCCATTGTGAGTTGTGTACATTCACGGTGAGACAGTCCCTTGATTCAAAGGTAATGAGCTTGTCTCTTAGAGCCCAAGCGCTCAAAGCAGAGTAGGGAGTGGCATTTCTTGCACTATTGTCTGTTGGTGAAGTTGTGAGGAAAATGGGAACCTTGACAGAGATCCTAACTAGCACATTAAATGCAGTGGAACGTTTGTCTTACTACCTTTGTCTCACTGTTGGAATAGTCTCCCTGAAGATCTCTGATCTGTTACTATATGGCTGAAAGACGATATGGACTTTTTCTTTTCCTAGAAAACAGTGGCGGAAAAGCAGGAGAAGAGAAACCAGGATCGTTTGAGAAGGAGAGAGGAGAGAGAACGAGAGGAGAGAATGGGCAGACGGTAAGTGGAAGCTTATAATTGGCTTGTGAAGTTGGTTTTGAAGTAGTTTCCTTTCTTGTACTTGAGCATTGCTGGAAGGCAGCATCTGCTGCTAGATTAGCTTTTGGGCATGCTCTCGGTGCTCAGACTGGCATTTAGTTAAAGATGAAAACAAATGCACAAACCCCCCATATTAGAGCAATTGTATGTGTATTGTGTATTTCAGATACAAATCTCCGTTGTGTATTTGAAAGATGCGAGCTCCATGTAGTCTTCAGGCTTATATTGGTCTAGTTCCCGTCTTTGGAAATCTGTATCTGGGTAAAATGCCCTTATTCCACACATCTTGTTGTGGACATTTAAGATGAGTGAGGGCTGGATCTGCTCAAAAGGTACTAGTCATGCAGCAATTCCTGGGCAGCCCTCCTCACTTCTAGGCTAGAAGGTGACAACAGAACAGAGGTGCCTGTCTTGCTCTGAAACTTCTCTACAATAACAATGAGGTGCTTTTGGCACAGCTTTGGAAAAGAGATCCAAGGGATCCCAAGGAGTGGCTGCTTCTGGAGATTGAGGCCATATGTGTCACCTGCTCATATGTGTATAATCTGTGCAGTGGGAGTGGCTGCAGTGTTGTTCTTCCCAGGACAAGCTCTTCCACATCTTGCCAGCTGAACTGGAAAAACTGTTTCTTCTGTACCTGAATGGAACAGGTTCGCTTGTGTGTCAGCAGCTTGGTTAAACAGCCTGGTGTGGAGAGGGTGGTTATTTGCAGTAGTCAGGCAGAGGAGGTGGTTAGTAGGAATGCTGCTCTCATTGTCACAGCATCTCCCCACTTACCTTGTATGTTTCTTCTCTTGTACTTACTGTGTCAAAAAAACTGACCTTGCTGCCTGTGGAGAGCTCTTTTTGACTCGGTGTCAACTGAAGAGTGTGTTTCAGCCATCCATGTCTGAGGCACGAGATACATGGCTGCAGTATGCTCTAAGATGATGCTGGCTTCAGGGTGTATGTGGCTGGAAGTGCTGGCAAATCAAAGATTTGTGTTTTGTGTGCTCCATAGCTTGTTGATTTTGGTGTACAGTGAAGCCCCAGATTTTTAGGCATTCTTCAATTAGTGTGTTTTCTGTGGGTTTTCTCTCTCTGTGTATTACCTGGTGTCAAATGAAGCACCACTTCATGCTGCAGCTTTCTCCTCAACTGCGGCTTTTTATGTAGAACCTCACCATTTTCTGGCATCCATGCAAGACAGTCAGTCAGTTATGTTGGGGAACTGCAGAATCTGGAACTGGGTGATGAGTGCAAGAGTTAATCGAAAGGGATATGTTGCTGTGGTCAGAAAGATGGAAATGAAACAAGAAGTGTCTTCCTTTAGACCTACTTCCTGTCAGGCTCTTTCAGACCCACAGTAGGACCATCTCTAACCTGGACTCAGTATGTCTGTCTCCATAGTGCCTCTTCTTCCTGGAGTTCATTTCTGTGTGAAAAATGCTCAGTAGAGTTGCCTCCAGGAGGAGTCCTCTGGATCTCTTAGTTGGTCTGCATCTCCTCAGAATACTGCCTTTCTTCTTTGGCATATCTGTGGTTTTGGTTTTGTGTTGTTTTGTTTTAAATAACACAAAAACCTCAGTTCTTGAGAGTTAGGAGCCTCTTATGTTCAGAGGTAGTCCATATGTGGATGCATCTGATGAGGGGATTTGAAGACCACTTTTGAATGTTTAATCTTTTAAATAGAAAGGGTTTAAAAACTGCATTGAGTTAGCTTAAAGTCCGAGCTCTTGCTGGTTCCATATGTAGCACTACTTGTGCTACAAGTAGTGTGTGGCACAAGACTGTGGCCAGCCTTTGCTCTCACTCTGTGTGGAGGCATCTGTATGCTCCTCTGTTCAGATACCAAAGAAATACTTGCTATGAAGGAGTCAGCAGTGCCATATAGAGGAGGTCAAATTATTTGCTTCTCCAAAACAAGGGCTTGACCCAAAGAAGGAAAATAGTTTTCCATGTGGGCACTCAGTGTCAGAACTGGGGTCAGAGCCCAGATTTCTCTGTTTCTCAGCACTTTACTTGCTGGGAGCTGTGGAACATGGTGCTTACAGGGGCATCTTTTCATCAAAAATTAATGGGCAACTTCTACTGCCTTTCAGATTACCTCTCTTAACCAGAGCCTGATACTGTGAAACCACAGAAGATAAATTTCCTTCGTAATTCTTCTTGTAATGTCTTCATATGCAACATATTCAAAGTGTTACTCAGTAAGAAAAAAGAGTACTGCTTGACTTGGAGAAGTGTCTTTGGTGACTTACAGGTGCTGTGATGTATTATGGAAACCTTTAGATTAACTTGTGAGACTCTTACCTCTCACGGGCTTTATTAATTTGTCAGCTAAACTGTGATTTCCACATAAGAATTAGTGAAGTGGGTTGTCAGCCCTAGTGGTAAATAAACACAAGTCCTTTGGTGTTGCTGGTGGCTGTGGACTTCCCAAAGATCTCTTAAGACTGAAGTTCTGTGTAGGGGTGGCACACTTAGAAGTGCCAACCTCTGATTTGCTTCCAGAGTGCACCAGCAAACAAGTCTAGGTGGAGTTACCAAATGGATTTCCTTTGTATTAAGTTGAACACCACACAGGTTGTGAAACTTAGCACATAGCCTCTGTGATACAGGGACAGAAAAAGAGTGGAAGATAAATATGCTCAGCTTCTAATTCTTCTGGACAGCTGTCTTCTACTGTCTCCTGCTGTATGCTTCTTCAGGCTAGTAAGGAAAGTGCTGTTTTGCTGGATGCTTCCTGAATTCTGAAGTTTAGCACTAGGGAGTGATTACCAGTTTATTGTCCACACTCCTGCTCAGATCACAGGTGTGGAATGGCAGCTAGGCTTTTGAGGGGATGTGGAAGGGCTTTGTATAAATGTATGCACTGGTCATTCAGAGTACAGTGGTCAGGAGGAGAAGAACATTGGGAACTTGGAGTAATTACAATCATCAAAAAAATTCAGCTGCCTGCCAGGTGTCTAGAGGAGGTCCTGCTGCTCTGTCAGGTTCTGTTCCATGAAAACGGAGGTGTGTGGTTATTGCCTTGCTCTCCTGGCTTAGCAGCTTTGCCTTCCTCTGGTCATCCTGTGCGTTACCTCTGATCATGGTTCATTTGCCTGACTCCACGTTCAGGTCCACCCTCTTTACAGTCCTGCCTGAATTGCTTTCCAAAGTTTGGGGTTTTTCTGTTTTTACTATGATTGAATAATCCCATTTCATTGTGAAGGAAGGTCAGTGCTCACTGATTCTCTTAATCTTGTCTTTATCCAGGTTTAAATGATATTATTAAAATAGGTGCTTCTTTATTGCTGTTTAAAATTTTACCTGTGTATAGCTTTCAGCCTCATCTCTTGTTACAGTGCCCCAGCAGCTCTGTGGCTCTGTAAATGGAACACCTCTGTGCGCCTGTGTGCATTGGGGAGACAGGAGCAGTTACAGCAGTGAGTCACTGAACAGGATGATCAGCCACTTCTCAGTTAAAGCAAAAAGAGGCTGTTCAGACAGGGTGTGATGATTTGGTGTAAGCTGTCTCTGAAATGTGGCCATGGAGAGAAAGGGAAGGTGTGTCTTTCACATGGAATGGTATCTTAGGTGGTGCTGAGCAATGGTGTTGCAAAAGTTGAACAAATTGAGACATTATTTACAGACTGCCAAAAGCTAATGCAGCATTGGGCTGAAAGTGCCGTACATGAGCTCTGAAGCCATAGAAATGTGAGGAGGAATAGCGAGGCTTTCTAAGTCTGGGATGAGGGATGTTCAGTGTATCTTTCAGTTACTTTTCAGTAATTGTTCTTCCCTTGTGTCTGTCTCCTCCTTTTTTCCAGCTCAAACAGGGGAAAAAAATCATTGATGCACATTTCCTCCTAGTGTTTGTTAAACAAATAGGATGAGTGAGAAAGTGCTGTTTTCTAAAAACTTTTCGATGTGCAGCTACCTCAAAGGAACCAGTGTCTTTCTGACTGGAGAGTGGCACTTCAAAACGTTAGAGTTGATGTAGTTGATGTGAGACTGCAGAGTGTAAAGAGCATTTAACCAATATGCACAGTCAGAAAGGTTTGTTGCGGTATGTTACTAAGACTGAATTGGTTTGTAGACCTTTTCTTTTCTGACAGGAAGCTCTGCATGTAGAAAACAGTGTTTCTACAAATTTCCTCCGTTTTTGACACATTCTCCCTGCCCCCGAAGTTGAAGCTAATTAAATGTTTCAATGGCAAGCTTTTTTAAATGCCATATTACTTGGGGTGCTGTTGCATTCCTGTGAAGAGCTGCCAGAGTGGATGGGTTGTTCTGTTGAAAACCCACTGGCTCTGTCATGCCTTCTCTTGCTTAACTGTCGTCTTCTTTCTAGGTCTGGATCAAGAAATAGAGATCGTCGAAGGTGAGTGTGCAGTTCTCCTACAGTTCTTCCGAAGGCTTGTTTGTGTTTCTAAGCATGGAAGTTTTTCCTGGGTCTCACAAATGCAGTTCACTCAGAGCTCTAGTCTCTTTATTTTGCTTCCTGAATGAAATGGGAACCACTGCTTGGGCACCTCAGTGGTGCTCTGCAACCTAATGTCACTCGTTGGGTCATAAAGCAGCCTGGTCAGGACAGGGGGTGCTGTGTACACCAGAGCATGAGGCTAAGAACATACTTGATGCCACTTTCAGTAAATGTCTAATATATTTTCAGAGTTTCAATGTCTGAGATATACCTATTACCTATATAATACCTCAGATGTAAAAATACAGATCAAGATAAAAGCTCCCCCATCTCTGTAGAGAGCTTGCCTTAATGGCATAAGAACATTCTATGTGGTCATGTAGCTGGAGATCTTCCTCTCTACTGCTTTCCATATAAGTTGACATCCTTTGTTCAGCTTTTACAGCATACTGAAATAAATCTGCTTCTAAAGTGCAGTACTTCCACAAGGAAGATTCTCTCTTGGCAGACTGTTGTACTGGTTATGGTAATTTCACATGCCACTTTCTTTGGCCTCTCTTCTGTTTAAACAGGCTTCACTTTGAGCGAGGCACAGTTGGTAGGCTCTGCTCTAGGCATTGACACATGCTTACAGTCACAGTGGGAGCTTTTTATATAAGCTTCCCAGCAAATCAAACTTAACCATTGGAATTTTGTTGGTAGCATGAGGCCCAGGAGAGAGGTGCCCACTCTGGGGGTGAGCTGCCTTCTATGCCGGCAGGGATGGGGCTGGGGGCGCGAGTGCTGGTGCTCTGGATACTTGTTACTCAGGAATGTCTGAGATGGGCTCGGGTATGCAGATCCGGAGCGCTGACCCATCTTCCGAGTCTGAGGCAATGTGTGTCCCCTCCAGATCACGGTCTCGGGATAGGAGGCGGAGGCGCTCAAGGTCGGCTTCCCGTGAGCGGCGGAAGTCTCGCTCCCGGTCCCGCGACCGACACCGACGCCACCGGAGCCGCTCCCGCAGCCCCAGCAGAGGTCACCGGCGGGGGTCCAGAGACAGGAGTTCAAAACACAAGTAAGTATTCTGGGAAGGGGAGTCCTTGGCATCGCAGTGAGCCTCCCCAGTCCCTCAGAGCGAGCAGGAGTGTGACAGGGTTCTCATGTTAACCGCTGCAGTGTCCTGTACCAGCTCCTGGGCCAAAATAGGGCTTCCCAGTGGCTGGTCGTAGGTGGCCTCACATGAGAGCAGTAGTGCAGCTGTACAGTGAGGTCCCAGCATGAGAGGACAAATCTAGGAGATAGAACTGACTCCCTGGTTTGCAGTGCTGAGCTGTGAGACATTGCTGGTTTCTTGTATGAGAAGCAGCACAAAGGCCTGCTTGAGCTAATTGAGCCTCCCCAAGCCTGTAAAAGCCAAGTAACTGAGAGGCAGTTTTGACGTGACATTTCTATGGTTACCTTCTGTTTCCCAGCTTCTTTCTCCCAGTGCTGGCACGGGGAAGGAAGTATGTGATTTGGGATGTGGGGGAAGTCATCTGTTAGAAGGCTGCTTGAGAGAGAGGGGATTTTTTAATGAATCTGCACTGGAGGGAGGGGAAAAAGGAGGCCATGAGGAGGAGTTACACCATTCTCCTGTTGTTAAGGAGAAGTGCTATAATCAGAGGAAGGGCTTTAAGCCTCTTCTGAAACTCATCAGAACGCCTGCTGTTTTGGAGGAAGGATGAGACAAGCATATGTAGGAGTATTAGAAAAATCAAATCATTGTGTTTCCTTGCAGCTCTTTTAAGCCCAGGAGCAAGTCTGTCACCAGGTGAAAAGCTTGCTGAAGGTTTTTTTTTAAGTCCTCCTAATTCATAGAGGAGTGCTTTAGCACTGTCTCACCTGATTAGGCACCACTGCTTGAGTACAGTTCTAGAAACAAACCTACTGTTGGGTGTCTTGTGTCACTTTAGGTAAGGGGTAAGAACAGGTTTTAAAGATACCTGATGCTGGGGAGGGGAAATAATGGTCTGAAAAAATGTCTGTTAATAATTGAGGGGGGATGTGTAAATACTGTTGATTCTCCAATGGCTGAGATACTAAAGTCCTTTTTTAAATCTGTCTTGAACATGAAAAATAAAGAAAAGAAGTTTGGACAATTAGGAAGTGAGGAAGACCCTGTAATAACTATTACTAAAGAGCAGGTAAGGGATTACTTCAAAAACCTTGAACGCATTCAAATCAGCCCATAGAGGTTGTAGGGGGATTGGCTGGCTGAGAACCTGGGAGAGACCAGGATCAGTTTAAGAAAATAAACCAGAGAACAAACAGAAAAACCCTGTTCCTTGAAAGAGCGTAGCTTCTGTTTCCACCTTGAATTAATGAAACCTGCATTCAGGTTCTGGTCTGAGGTCTCACCTGTAGAAGGAAACAGAGAGCCTGTCACAGGATCTGGAAATCTTGGGGCAGCAGGCATTGCTGTGGGAACAGGAAATGAGTTAACCTCATCAAACAGACGCATGTTGTCGTCTGGTTAGATGACACAATTTAATGCAAATGAAATGGCTCATGCGATACAGAGGGCTGTAAGGTGTTCATGTATCAATTGTGCAGTATTTCCAATGTGAATGACAGCTGGAATCTCTGAGGCACCTGCTGGTTCCTCATCTTGTGACTGTAAAGAAGAACCTGTGTGCTGAGTCCATAAGTAAAACGTAATGGCCCTGTAGGGTCTGTGAGAGCCTCTGCCTGGTTCTGAATGGGCTCAAGATACTGGATCAGCACCTTTTGAAGGCTGTGAGCCAATAAGCTGATGTAAATCACAGAGGAAAACAGTCTTTTTGGAGTGGACCTTCTGCTTAATTCTCGGTGGTCCCATACAGCAAAGCGCTGCTGAATCTTCAGGTGTCCTTCAGGCCGGCTGTGAAAGGCTTTGCCTGTGGTGTGGGCTATGAATGTAAATCTCTGTCACCCTGACTGTGAACCCAGGGGGCTGCCCAGGACCACGCTTGTCAGGCTGCACAGTAAAACTGAGGGCTGAGCAAGCATTCGAGTCCAGAGAATACAGTTGGTATTTACAATGGTTGAGCAGAAAGCCACTAGTTTAGAGCATAGTGAACAAACCCTCTAGAAGACACAAGCAGAGCTGAGTCATAGGTGAGGAAGAAATTGGAAGTGCTTCAGCAGGGCCCAGTTAACTAACAAGGGGCCCAGGGAAGACCTCAGAGAGCCTCTGTAGCCAGAGCTTGAAAGGATCATTCCAAGGAGAAAGTAACAAAGGCTGAGATGTGTGTTTGGCACCATAAAACTGGTGCTCTCTTACACAAAGCTTGTGGAGGGCCCAGGGTTGCTGTCTCAAGGCTGCCATTCCCAGCAGTGCAGTACATAGGCACATTTCTGCACAAAA